GATCTCCCTCCCCGGGAGCCAACAAACCTCCCCGCGACAATCTGAGTGCGTTGGCCTCTTGGGCGGTGACTGAATGGTCAGATCATGGACCAGAGATGCTTCTCTTGGCTCTAAGAGGACTACAGTCCCCTCCCTTCTTTGGAACCCGCTTGGTTCTACACCCCTTCACCTCCGCAGCCAGGTCGGTAGACCCACGCCCACCTTCCCTGCCCGGCACTCGGAAGTCAAGGATGTCACCATAGCCGCAGTGTGGGAAGGGGACCCCTGGTCCCCTGGAGGAGACGTGCGCGGAGTAGGGGGAGTCCCTAGCGCCCCGCAAGTAGGCAGGGGTCCCAACTGGTCGGAAGAGAGCGCAGGAGTGGAGGCTGCGGTGGGAGCCACCCTCCTCCGCCCTCACAAATCGCACCTGGGCGGAGCAAGGGAAGGGGGGGAGCCCTGCGCCTGGCAGGCTCGGAGCGCAGAGCTGGAGGGCGTGCGGGAAACGCAGAGCGACGGGTGTGGGCGGGGGGAGACCCAGCTCTCGGGCCTGGGACCCAGGGCAGAGGGGGGTCGGTTCACCTTGCAGTCCCCAGGTAGATTCCTTGGTGGACGCAGATGTTTTGGTGGATGCAGGAGAGGCTGCTTTCTCCTCTGCACCCCAGCAATCTGGGGTGCAAAACCGTTTGCGGAAGGAGCCTTCACTGCCATTTCTAAGAAGGGGCCCCCTCCCCCACTTTGAGTCCCCAAGCCCTCTTCCTCTCCAGGTGGGGACTACCAGAGACGGGAGGAACCTCACTTAACCCTTCTCTTCCCGAGAAAAGTGGAGGTGCATACCCCTCTCCCAGGGGTGTTTTGGTCCGAGAGCGGATCCTTGGTTCCCACTAGACCCTTAGCAACATTGGGAGGTTGCTTGGGTCTGGAACCCGATACAGTAACCTTCTGGTCCTCTGTTTAGACTTCCCACAGGCAGGCTTTTAAGGGCACAAGCTTCTCTGCCGGTGGCCTTCCTGCTCTCTATCCGTTTAGAAAAAGCAAGATTTAGGGCAGTCCCCTTTGCTGAGTCCCTCGCCTTGGCCAGACTGGAGGAGGTGTCTCATCTCCTGTGCTCCCAGGGAGGAATCCCGAGGCCACTCACAGTGACTCCAGAGGCACCCCTGGAGCAGCCAGCTCGAGCTCCTCTGTCTGGCGGAGGCAAACTCCAGAGCCCCACGGAGCCAACGGGGATTCCCTCCCTAGGTTCCTGCAGTCCTGAACACCCAGGCCACACCCTCTTAGGTCCGGCCTGGTGCTAGAGCACGGGTTATTTCAGAGTTACCTGGAGACCTCAGGTAGCATCTCAGACTTAAAACTTTCACTCCACAGGATTTCCTCTCTGAACCCCCGCAAGATCCTCTTTCTTTCTATGCGTATATCTCCCGGATTTGTGCTCCGGCCATTTTTCTTTTCTTCTTTTTCTTTTTCTTTCTTTCCTTTTTCCTTTCTTTCTTTTTTGCATGTAGAAACAGGTTAGAACATGTCCCGTGGGAACTTGAGGGAAGAATTCAAATCCACACCTAGGCGATTTTTTCACGTTGCTGAACTATTCTGGGGGTACAAGCAGATATAATCAGCGCTGGTCAGCATGTACTGAGATCTTACTATGTGCTAGGCACGCTCTTAAATATTTTATGTGCTCGTGTTAGTTTCAGCCCACACAACAAGCTGGAAAGGCAGGTAAAGCTATTTTTTCTCATTTTATAAGTGAGGAAACCAAGCTGTGAGAAATTAAGTTATTTGCTCATTAACATTCAGCTATTAAATGGTGGGCCTGGTTCCTCTGGTGGGCAAGCACACTGGGTGTGTTTCATGCTCCCAGCCCTATTTGGTACTAAAAACCCTTTGTCTACAAGGAGGTATGAGTGAGGCCCCCAATCCTTTTTCTCCAGACCCCAGGGGCATATCATAATTGGCATTTCCTACTTATGAGCCCCGGGGGCTAGAGTACTGTGGAGACACAGGGGTTGCATATCCCCTGCCTCAGAGAGAGCCTGTTGGGTTGCACCTTGGGACAGCCAAAGGCTCTGACCGGAAACTGATTTACAGAGATGGCTACTGATATTGGACTTCTCTTCACCTTTTTAAATGTGAGGAGAAATGGAAAGAGAGATTCAAATGTGATCGAGATTTGCTCTATAGTGAAACATGAGAAGCAGTTTTAGGTAGCAACTGTATTTTGCAAATGAGGGCCTCTCTGGAGACTGGATCATAGAATGTTAGAGCTAAAAGTGAGCTCAGAAATCATCCTTTCCAATCCAGGCTCAGGGAAGAGATTCAGGGCTGTGCTCAAGGCCACTCCGGTGCATGTGTAGCATAACTAGTGCGAGAACCACTGCCTTTGAACTTTTGGTCAAATAAAGCATGTCTGTGCATAAATAGATTGTGTCCACTGCTGCCGTTTTTTAGCATCTTAAAGTTAATTAGGAAAAAGACTTTTATTTTTTGAAAAGCCTCTTTTGCTTATTTTCCATAAATACTTCTCAATCAACATAACCAGAAAAAGTCTGTATCGTATAATGAATAAGTTACCAACACTGTGCCTCTTTTTGCAAAAAAGAAAGAAAGAAAAAGCAGTAGAATATTTATAAGCCTTCAAATCAACAAAAATTAACTGTGCAACCCTCTGGATGATTCTAAATGAGATTCAGTGGATTTCTCATCATTTTAGCAAAGCCTTTCATCAGATTGAGTAGATCTACCTGCTCTACTTGTGAAAACGTCTGTGAAAATAAAAGAGAATTTTTTTTCCATAAAGTATTTGTGAAAGCAAGGTATAAATTTTTTTTCAGCAGAGGATAAAATTCAATCTATTTCATTGAATACAATGAAATGAATTGGTTAGATTTCTCTTGAATTTCTGACTCTTGGGTTAAACTTTATACTGATGTAAATCTGAAGCAAAACAATGTATTTCTGGTGGATGTACTTGAGCCTTAGAAAAAAAAAACTATTTCTAAGCCACTTACTCACTCACCAAACCCTTTCAACAAAGGAGACTTTTTCAGGCGCTTGGGGATTCGCATAACTAGAAGCATTCTTGTGGGACAGAATTCTAGTTTCTAAGAATACTTTATGTCTTTTCTCTGTAGCTATAATACCAGGATGTCCTCCTCTTGGAGACAAACCATCAAAAAGGGAGCTGGGATGGGAAAAAGCCTGTTTCTCAGAATGACATCAGGGAGGCAGACAGTGGAAACCTGGTGGCTTCTATGTCACCTGGAGCAGAATTTCCATCTCTAATACTGGGGTACACCAAGACCTAGGCCTTGTATAGTGACTGGGATGGAGAAAGAAAAGGTGATGGCGAGGGTCATTGCTGTCAGAGGAGGCATGGGTTGGAGGAAGATGGATAAGAGTCTTGACCCTGAGGGTCCCTGGTTTGACAGAAAGGCCCAGAGATAACCAGCATGCACTAAGAGCTGCTCCCATTCCTCCTTCCTTTCCTACCCTCTATCCCAGTCTGCAGTCTGTGTCAGGATGACTGATTTGAATTTCAGAGCCCTGGTTATCTCAGGGAGAAGCATTCACTTTCTAGAGAATTCATTAGAAATGAATATTGTTTTTATGCAAGTAGGAAAGAATTGTACTCCTGCCCTACTCTTCAGGGAAAGCTGTCCAAAATCAGATCATCCCAGAAGGGTGACCTTCTAGAGGTGGGGACATGGGTTTAGTTGGATGACAGAAGTGTTAAAGAAGAGAGACATAACACTGAAATCAGGTGCATGACAAAATCCAAAAGAAATGGCCGTTGTTCTAGGAACCACTGGAAGGAGAATGCACTAGAGCCTGAGAAGACATCCTGGTTTCTAATCCCTACCTTTTTCAGGGGAGCTGGTAACCTCATCGTATGCATGGAGCCCAACCCCCTCAACACCTGTGTGGTGTAGCATCAAACATTCCATACGACTCTTCTGCTGGGACAATTTTTTTGGTGTATATTAATCTTATATTGTATAAATATGAGTTTGTTGACATTTAGAATGACAATTACTAGTAAACAACACACTCTGAGACAAAGAATATGAAAAAATTAAAAAGTTTAAGCAAATAGATATGCTTATGCAATACATAGTGTGAGTTAAAATTCCCATTTGGGGTTAGATATTTTAAAATAAAGAATATTCAAGACCCAGAACATCCGACCTTGACTATTTTTAATAACAAGTGAAGCCAAATGATAAGGTTCTGTAGAAAGGGCTTGAAGAATATATTGAAAACCAAACAAAAGACCAAAGTAGAGGCTAAGAAGCTTTACCCTTGTGGATTTTATTTTGAATAAATATATAATCCCTTAATCTATATTTAGATTTGAATAATCCATAAGATTAATAAATCTTCTATTCATTTTATCTGTACATTTTGACTTTGATGAACTCTGTTTGATAAATGGTTTGAAACCTTGACAGACGCTCTTATATCTGAAATAGTATACTTTATAAAACTTTAGTGAATTGATACATCTCATCATGACATATGAAATGGCCATTTCATATGAGAAGGAAATCTGGAATCTTCTAGGCTGATAGGCTTGAAGTCACTATTTCCCCACAGGCAGTAATAATAGTAATAGTAAGGGGTATATGACTCTTTTAAAATAAATAAATGAATAACTGCTGAAGAAAGACCCACCCCCAATAAAAACAGATTTTATTCTTTAAGAGGATAAGTGAAAAGATTAGCAAAGGTTACAAAATGTATGGTTTCATTTTATCCTAAGCTCTCTAAGCCACGTTTTATGTTAATACTTACACAGTGCAAATGTCACTACATTTTCAGACCGTTTTTTAAAAATTGTTTTAGGTGCCTTTTGTTAGAAATAAAACAGAAAACAAATATTTAAACCATGTGAAGCTATTCTCAATCATGGAGTCATACTTGACAAAGCAGTAAGTATATTTTCAAATACAGGTTTATTTGTTTGTTTGTTTTTCTCTTTCCCTCCTCTTCCTTCTTTCTCTTTTCCTGCTGTCGCTCTTCTCTCTCTCCCTCCCTCCTTCCTTCTTTCCTTCCTTCCTTCTTTTCTTTCTCCCTTCCTTCTTCCTTTCTTCCTACCCTCCTTCTTTCCATTTTTAGTAGAATAAGTCTTGATAGAAAAAGGATTCAGCACTTTACTGGGAAAGACTGTTATTTCAGTACAAATATGTCTCCTGGTGAGGGCAGTTCTGA